AAATATTTTTCAAACAACAACAGCAGAATTGTAAAGGAGAGACAACTTTACCAGTTTTTCCTCACGTATAACTTGTGACAGCAATATAACCCACAGAAAATTGCTGGAACAAAAATAAACTCTTTATCTAATCCTCCATTATACACCTCATACCCATGGAACAATGGCTGTTCTCATAGGCACAAGTTTATGACTGCAATTTAGAATTAGCATATAACCCACACCTATTTCAATCTGACTTTTAAACATATCCCATGGATTAAATACATAAAAATATAGCATTGTATCCAATTCACACCTTACAATGCTACAAAGTTAATCCGCAGACCACCTATGCTGTGGTTGAGCAATTTGGACCCCAATCACTTCAGCTTAATGGCCCTACACTGTAGTTGTGTTATAACGAAAGTTGAAGAGACAGTATTGGGAAAAACATGAAAAGGATTACTCTATGGAAAAGAGGCTTGGGTAGTACAAGGAGGTACAAGTTACAATAAAAGGAAAGAAGGAAATGAAGAAAAATGAGAAATGACAAGTAACAGGAAAAATAAAGAAAAAGGCAAAAAAGGCAATAGCAAAGGCAGTGGATAAAGTCTATGAGGAACTGGAAAGAGAAGATGGGGTTAAAGATGAAAATGTTGACCCCATATAAACATGGAAAAAAGCAAAGATAATGAAGAAGAGAAAGAATATTAAGAAACCAATAAAATTAAAAGATTTTATGAATTACAGTTAGTAATTCAGATACAAAATATACGAACTTTTATCCTACACCCAAATATATATCTAAATATATAAAATTGCTTGTCCTGACTGACTCATTCACTGACTGATTCATCATCGCCCAGAGCAAACCGCTTAACCTAAAGAGGTGAAATTTGGTACACAGTTAGGGTATGTCATGAAAACACACACTAAGAAGGGGTTTTTCGAAATTCCCCCACGGGGGGAGAGGAAGAGCATTAAGGCTTAACCGGAAGAACGGCTTCTACTGTACTATTTTAGATGCGATTTTTTGTTTTTATCTGACTTTTAGTAGGGTACGCCATGGCAATGCACACTAAGAAGGGATTTTTCAAAATTCCCCCATGGGGGGAGAGGGAAAGATTTAGTCTTCATCGAGTACTTAGGTGTATTAAATTAATAACATTTCAGACATTGTTATAAATATTTTTATATATTTCGATTTTTCATCCAAATGTTCGAACCGTTTTAAATTCAAATTTGTTATTGCATATTGGTTCGATTATAGAACGATTGTAAATGTTCCAGAAAACTGATCAAATTGAAAATAGTTTGTTTGATTCTCGGCAATTTTCATCATTCTCAGCGGTAGGTGTTATATAACAATTACTATGGTTGTTGAAATACTGAATATAAATGGGGTTTGCTTGCAAAATCCACGCAGGCAAAGCCGCTGGTAACAGCTAGTACACATAAAGTAACATGTTATAAATGATTCGTTTATAACATGTTACTTTTTAATTTTTTGCATAACTGTTTATTTGAAATTCGCTTGCGTAATTTTTCGAATTTCCCATTTTTGAATTAGAGAAATAACTGATGATGAACGCTTAATGTGTTTGAAAATGTTTTTATGTTATTAAAGAATTATGCTGGATAGTTGAATGTTTTTTATTTTTATTGAATTTATTCTCCAGTAAGCAAGTATACAATTATTTACCATTTGTTTGCTTTTGAAATTAACATTAAATCAAATATGACATTAAGTCGAAGCATCTCAAATAATAAGAACTATATACAAGAATCCCTTGTCAATCATAGTTTTAAAATAATATATTTATACCAAGAATTGAGTGAATGAAAATATTGCAAACCTTTTTTTATAATGTTGCAATATTATTCAATATTTTTTGATAAATTATATTGTATTTTAAATTAAAATTTAAGTTAATGTTTTCTTATACACTAGTAATTAAAAAAATTATTTATAATTAGATGCTAAAAATGATGTTATTTTTTTTAATCACTACTGATGATATACACTTACACAAATTATTTGATAAATATTAATTTATCAAATAATTTGTGTAATTAGTCATAAAACATATCTTAATTTTAAATGGAGATTTGGAACATTGTTAGTGCCCTATAAAGAAATTCAGGGATATTTACATGTACATACAACAAATTCAGAGATATTTGAAAAGTAAATGAGCCAGACTTCAATTCTTAGCTTTTGAACGGTTTGATGCTTCTCAATCAGTTTGAAACAATTTTAAGATTTTTCATTTCTTATAGTTTACAAAAACTTTTGTTATACTGTTATATTTTTTTTATATACACTTAATTTTTTTTATTATTATAGAACATATATTCAATGTCATGGTTATCCTTCCTCTAACCCCTTATTTTCTATAAAGTCTGTGTTGGTTTCACCAACCATGCCATTTCTTCCCATATAGTGATGAGTAAGGACAGAATTTTAAGGTTCTAAAGCAGTTTAAAAATGGGAGGTGCAGAATGCTAAAAAGAAGCAAAAATGGTAAGATCATGTAAGCATCAATCTTGAGTAAAAATTTTTATTTAAACTTTTTATTATAGTATATTTTTGACAAGTCATTTATTTTTATACAATACTTACATGTCATTGTCTTCTCAAGTATTACTTGGCAAATCCATCTAACTTATCTCTTATTGAGGAAAACAATTTCCACTGCTTTTCTTTTTGAAGATGCTTCCTTTCTCATTCAGTGATTGCATCAATAGCAGGAAGTTCTTCCTGAACATTAGCATCCAAAACAAAGTTCTTAATTTGACCACTTTCAGCAGAATCAGAAACTTCTACATGCAAAGCAAATTTTTTGATTTTCTCAAAATTTTTGCAATAGAAAATACCAGCCCTTATCCATTATCCCAACCTTGTGATGACAGTATCAAGTGGCAGGGGAAGCTGTGTTACTTCATGGTACATAGTGACTCTTGCTAGAGTTTTCTTTAAAATTTTTTTTATCTCTGAAATAAACATGATCATTTTGGATCATTTGGCATAAACTGATTCATACACCAAATGAAGAGCATCTGTGATTCATGAAATGTGATTCAAATTGACAAACATTGATTTTAAATTTCAAAGAGCTGAGAGCCTATAAGATGGATTAAATACCAAAGTGCTTGATCTGTTAGGACAGCCCATACACTTTGGTATTTAATCTATCCTGCTACAGCTTCACGTAGGCATTATTAAATGCCTGCATTACATAGGCAAAAATCACTTTTGTACATCTTTAAGAGCATTGCATCCACCAGTTTGCCTGTTAGTGGAGCTGGAGCCACTAAAATATTCAAAACCAATTGTTTCATGTCATCTGTTGTTTCATTCACAAGAAACAAAACAGGGTTATCTCCAATAATATACTTGTTCTTACTGATTATTTTTGCATGTCAGTTGAACATAGCATTTTCTTAAGGTATTTTCATCAGAACAGTTTTGCAGTCCATTTCTCTAAAAAACTTTTCAAACTTGGATGGCCAACCTTACTTACAGGGATCTCAGAATGTAAGAAAGCTGTAGCTAAAAATGAAAAAAATTTGTTTCTTAAAGCAGCACTGTTACTACATTCTGCCAAGGATCTTGAAATAAAAGTTTGTTTTTTCTTGTTTTTTTTTTTTGCTTTAATTTAATAAAACAACCACTTCACACCTAAGCAATAATTCCAGCAAATGAACAATAAAAATTTTAATGTTCAAAGGTTTTATTGTTCATTTGCTGGAATTATCGCTTAGATGTGAAGTGGTTGTTTTAGTATATATTTCCAGTTTCTGTGTAAGTTTTTATGTCTTGCTTTAATTTGTTTTTATTTGTGTTTTTCATGGTCAAATATGCTTTTTAACATGTTCTGATGTTTTTATCATTAGCAATCTTTATGTCAACAGCAATTATTTAATAAATATTAAATTATTATAATTACCTTTTCTTAAATAAGGTAGCTGCATTCCTATTAGTTTAACTCTATAATCCTTTATAGAGTTACAGTATTTCCTATGATCAACTAAAGTTGTTCTTTTATAAAAGCAGGTACAAATTATATGGCACCAAAGATGGGTTGAGAATTTACATCAACCGAAAATGCACAAGTAGAAGAAAAAATCACTTAATACATTATGTGTGGTTAGACTGTGGCCGCCAGCGCCAGAGATCCTGAACACTGTCTGGCAACACTTGCCAGGATCACGAACTCTGTCTGGCAACACTTGCCAACAAGAGTGGCTGGCAACGTCAAAAAAGAAAAGGCGCGAAAGTTCGTTGGATTTTGTCCGGGTGTCACCCGAGGATGTCTGTGACAGTTCTAACCTTTTCTAATAAAGTTCTTTTTTGTTACTGTTCGTGTTTGCCTGCTTAATGTTAGATCTAAACATCAGTAGGATTGAATGACAAAAGACTATTGGATAATTGTTGTTTATAGGAAATACTATACCTGACAAAGGATTACAGAGTTAAACTAATTATAATAATTATTAATTTCAAGAGAGATGATGCCTAATGTCTACATCAAATTAATTAATATCTAATTATTAATAGTAGCAAAAGAAAATAGCCTGATTATGGCAATTGTTTGGTTTATTATTCATTGGACTTACTGATGTTTATATATATATATAGAAGAACTTTGGGTATTATGGAATAATCAGGTTATATGAAATATTGTTTATCTCATCTGCATAATGCTGCTACTTAGCAAAGAACCATAAAACTACTTATTCACACTTCTTATAATGCTCTGCATTCAGTCCAACTGTAATTGTGGTACAAGTTTTTTTTTATTTTTTTTCACAAATCTGAATTTGTAATTGTCAAAACTTTTGCAGGCAAGTATTTTAAAATTTATAATAACTTATAGAGATATAATAAAATACTGATTCATTCATTAATACAAAATTTAGTAGTTAAAGCCACACTTTTGATACTTGTTTTTATTTTGTGACCCTTAAAAGTAGAGTTGCTACACTTTCATTTCCAAGATGGCATATCAGGCAATATGGAACAGCAGTATTTCATTAAGCTGCCAAGAAATCAAGGTATTCCATATTAGCTAAAAATGATTTTCTGATCTTAAAAAACTCACCTAATGTTTGATGTTTTGAAAATTTAATAATAATTTATAGTCTAGTTATATATTAAATATTAAACATAAAATTGAGCTGGTAAAAAATGCTGCCAAATATCCAAAACAATCATTTCAAGAAGAGTCAGGTAGTGAGAATGAGTCTTTTCATTCAGACCAATCATCAGAACTTGACTTTTTACCTGACATGACATCAAATGACAATGACACTGATTGCATCTCATATCAACCAACTACTTACCCTCCATTCTGTGCTTTTCAATACTTCAATAATTATCTGCTATAAGTAATAGATATGTATATATCAATGGTGCAATTTTCTTTATATTTCTTTTAAAAAATCAATCTTTCAAAAAAACATTTCCTCAAAAATTGATGAAACTTTTATGAGTTAATTCTACAGAAATAACCACCGTTTTGTTGCCTGGACTGCATTTAATCAGAGACAAAAGCTTATCTTCGTATTCTTTATTTACTTATTTACTATGTATTTCGAATGCAATATTTTCGTGTAACTTGCACCCCTCTTCAGGTTTTTACATTTCTATAGATTGGTAAATTCAATTATTACATTTGTTATTATGGTAAATTACAACAATAGTTATTTGGATATATTAATACAATAGTTAACTAACCTGTTTTAAGTTTAGACCTCAGGCCTGGGAGTGCTATTTACCCTCTGAAAAAGTGAGAAAAGTGAGTTGAAATACAGAAAAAGTGAGTGCAATACAGGTAGCCCTCGGTTTACGCCGGCTCAATTTACGCCGATTCACAATAACGCCGCTGTGCAACTCGCCATTTCGCAGTGTAATTCCCCGATTTTCCCTATACTAGACTGATTTTCATTTCAGTGTTGACGTATTTACCGAGCTGCGACATTGTATATTCGTTAAAACAAAGATTTTTATTGAATATATTTATTTTTTCTGTTTAATATTATTGGGTATGATACATTTGCATTAAATTAATATTAAAATACTAAACATTTAGGTACCCAC